AAAAACATATATATACCACTGAGATCATTTCCGGATATTCTTTCAGCAAATCCTCTAGAACAAGATCCAACACCTAATTCCATAATCAATGACACAATGAAACCACAGTAAATACCATAAAAAAAACTCCAAGTAATCAACACAGAAACTAGGTATTATACCGCAATTTTTCCGCATCCTCGAGGACCCAGAAGCAGAATCGAATTGTTACAGGCCTCAGTGATCGAACTTGATACGATAAATTTCAACTTGCTGAAATTTGTTCAGAGATTAAATAAAAAAAAAAAAAAAAAAAAAAGGGAATACAGTATTCACGTGTATAAAATTGGAAGATATATAGAAAATTCGAATAACTATCAACCGAACCTGTAGTTGCTGTCGGGAGAATCGGAGAAGAGGGAGAAGATGAAATTGGGATCACATAGTCTTCTGCGAAGAAGGACTAAAGCTTCCTCTGCTGTTCCCCGACCCATTGGGCTCATCCGTTACTTTTCTCTCCTGTGGACTACAATTATGAAAATCCGGTGTCAGACTATATATAATGGGAGGTGTCAGAGGAAAATGGCGGGAAAACTTTTCCAGGGTATAATGTAGTTGTGGGCTTGATAACCTGTTAGGCCCATCTTATTACCTATACTTATATATATACACTTATAAAGAATAAAGAATTTGATCCAATTTTAAAAATAACGTGAAACTATGATTACAAAAAAAAACCTTTTGATCCTTAATACATCACATCTACAGATTTGGTGCAAACTTGTTAACTCAATCATACACTTACATTCCTAACTGCAAAAGGTAGGTATAGTATTCATGAAGAAACCGAATTACAACTTACATTTTACAATTACCATTCAAGAACAACATTTTCGTGTCTGGATGTGAAAAATGAGTATTTATGATTATGACTAGCACTAGCTGTACCGCTGATCTCAACCACATAATTAAATGATTTTCATCATTATCTGTGTACAGATGACACAAGTATATCATTTACCATTCAACCAACAGGATCAAGATTTGAAACGCTGAAAATGAAATAAAAAAGGATGTAGTATGAATAACAGAAGGTGCACCTGCAGAAGAGCAAGGGCATTGCAGACTCTATTTGACTGAGCTGGAGTTAGATTGGGTGGTGATAGTTAATTACATAATTGAAGCTCAACTGAATCTTTCAACTCATACAAGAGAAACATTCACTAGAAGGAAATATTGAACAGACATACATGGTATGGAGACCAAACCTATGAGAGACAACATTAAATTGAAAAAACCTGAGAAAAGGGAACCAGTCGATGGATACTCACTCAACTAATAGATACATACACTAATCAATTAACGGATCAATGTCAAAACCAATCGATCACATGGTATACAAAACCAATCTGATTACGATGGTCATTCAATCGAGCACATGGTATGCGATTCAGTTTTGTTCAATCAATACAAACAATGCTAATTACGTACCTTGATATTTCAATCGAGCACATTAGCTTCTTATCTATTATTAGTTTTTTTCAATCGAGCATACCATGGTTGTAAAAAGCTAAGATTTGGAAATATATGTCAATTAAACAAGGAAAAATGGAGAATGACATGTGGTTGGAGAACTAAAATCGCAAAATAGCGAGACCGGTGCAGACGCCGATACCGGATGTGGTCGGCATTCAATTTAGACGGATTGTAATTGGAGAACTAAAATCGCAAAACAGCGACTGTTGTTGAAGCTTTAGAAGCGAACGACTGGTGTGCTTCGAGGACTGTGACGACGGACTGCGACGACGACGGCATTCACTGGAAGAAGAAGATCGTGTCCCATTCGCTCCTTAGCAACAGAGGGAATAAAAACTATGTTTTCCATGTTTATTAAAAAGTGGTTATTGAAGTTTATGGAAAAGCTATTCTCAAAAGTACTTTTAAGTTTGACAAACATTTTTGTTTTGGCTTATTAACTTTTCAAAAAACTAATAAGCAAATAAACACTTTTCAAACACAATCCCAAACACCCCTAGATGGAATGCGATGGATATCTGGAATGACAAAATCGGAAGAAACCCTAGTAGCAATTGACAATTTTTGCATTTAAATGTTTTTTAATTTACGTTGACCAGTTGACCGATTAGGGCATTCTAATGGCATGTTGAAAACCATCATTAGTTTTTATGGTGTCATGTCATTAACTGTTTGCATATCATTAATGCATAAAAAAAACTATTAAAAAATGATTTATATCTAGACAATAACATAATTTCAATTCTTCTTATACTTTTTTTTCATTTTAACTCCTTTAATTTATATATAAATTTTAAAACATACCCTTATTTTTTTATTTTCATTTAAAATTTAAAAAATTGATTATTTATTTGAAATATATAATAAAAATATATCCGAACAACTTAAAGAAAAATCAATCTCATCGTATGCGTTGCTTACTTGATTATTTATTTGAAATATATAAATACAAATATATGTTGATAATCTTAAAATTTATACCATTGACGGTTATTTACATTTATATTTCTTATTTGGTATTATGTACATTAGGTGTGTACCCTCATGTATTACATAGGTGTATTTAAAACAATTAAATATGTATAAACATTTGAGAAATTTGAATTATTAAAATTAAAGTGTTTTTTTCTCTTTTAAATTTAAATAAATCATTTAGATAAAATAATCAAAGCAAATTAATGAGATTTTATTTTTAAAATTTGAAATTATAAGGAAAGTCCATTAATGAAATTTATATGCATTTATTATTAAATTTAAATAGCATATGGAATTTAATAAAATAGGAAAGCCACAAAATTACATATGGAATAAAAATTAATTCAAAATATCCACAAAATGACATGTGGCAAAATAAATGAGAATCTGACAAATGTCAAAAAAAAACCTTCATTTATTAAAGAAGATTAGTATTAATATATAAAAAAAATAAAAATCCTAAATGATTACAAATTATAAAAAACTATCCCAATAATAAAAACCTTTAAATAATTATAAACATTCCGTATTTTATTTTTAGTATTGCTTTAAACTTATATCCACTTTCAATAAAGTTTATATTTTACTAATTGTTAGTTATGTATTTTATTATTTTAAAGTTATAATTTTAACGATCCATCAATTATGACATTTTTATCATTACGTAAAACAATCAATGCATTGTTAAATTAAATTTAACAAGAAAGTTACTAAACATAATTGTGTTGTCGGCAACTTCAGTTTGTGAAGCATTTCTATTTATAATTTTAGCAAGTTACTAGATTTATAATTTTAATGACCGATCAATTTATACCGATCCATCAATTATGACATTTTTATCATTACGTAAAACAATCAATGCATTGTTAAGTTAAATTTAACAAGAAAGTTACTAAACATAATTGTGTTGTCGGCAACTTCAGTTTGTGAAGCATTTCTATTTATAATTTTAGCAAGTTACTAGATTTATAATTTTAATGACCGATCAATTTATACCAACTCAACAACCTTATAGGCATAGTATTTCTACTTGTACGTTTGATTATATGGAGTCTAATTTGTTTGATCTAAAATAGGAACCGTAAGCAAAACATATACTCGTTTCGAGAAAAAATCTACAGCAAAAACACATAAAACACATAATTCATATCTATTTATGATTGAAATTCCAAATGAATTTAGAGGTGCATAAACTTTTTCGAAAAAAAAAAATCGACAACAAAAATGTTTTTGGGTTTTCACAAATATATGAGTTTTGAAAAGATCCTAACCTCTCTCTCTCTCTCTCTCTATATATATATATATATATATATATATATATATATATATATATATATATATATATAATATATATATATATATATATTTGTGAAAAGAAAAGTGTCTTTCAAAAAAATGAAAGAAAAAAAACAATTAATAGACTTTTTATTTAAATAACATATAAAGTAAATAAATAAATAAAATATCTTAACTTAGTTATATTTCCTTTATGAATTGTATGCTTCCTTAGTTTCAGATTCAACTAATTTTTTCTAACCTTTATAAAAGGAGGTCCAACAACGACGATGCACTAAAAACGTTTTGTATTTTCTCTTAATGCTTGTATTGATATGTCATCTACAAAGTAATCCTTTAGCTTCTGAAAATACATTATTGAATGCGTTCATGCAAGCCATGTCTCTACCTGTTTGTTTTGTATGTCGCATCCATCAACATGACATGTGGGAATGCACGTCACATCTCCAATGATCAGTGGTGAGCAAAAAAAAATCTTGAAGCTCGTTGGTTGACTTATCGGCACGACTATAGTAGATATTGTAGCACCCAATTCCTGGTACGCACTTAATTAAAGTATTTTTTTATGTTTTTCTCTGGGACTCGACGAGTTGGAGGCCCAACTCGTCGACTAGAGTCGGGACCCGCGGATATTTTAAGTGACCTACTCGACGAGTCGGTAGACTGACTCGGCGAGTAGGTGCACTATTAGAAAAACAGCCTTTTACGACGCTCATTGCGCGTCGTAAAAGGCTCAGACGTCGCGCAAATGCGCGTCAAGGAAGGCCATGTTATAAAGAGAGACGACGTGCTTTTGCGCGTCATCTATAGACGACGCGCATGTACGACGCTCATTTACGACACGCGTTTACGGCACACAATGTGTATCAAGGAAGGCCCTGTAATAAAGGAAAACGACACGCTTTCGTGTGTCGTAACCTTACGACGCGCGTGTTAAGGACACGTAATGCGTATCAAGAAAGACCATGTCATAAATGAAGATGACACACATTTTTGCGTATCATAATTTTAAATGTTTAAAAAAATATATTATTTATAGGTTTACTAATTTTCAAATTAAATAATACATTAAAAATCTCATAATACAAAATAAAATACCATAAATAACAAAGATAATTCATTTCACCAATATGTCAAATACATAAAATTATTCAAAAAGTGAGTAAATGTTATAAAAAAAAAATGAACTCATTTATATACAATTGCATCATCTAGCATACTATGTGCCAACAACTCTCTGTGTTTTTACTTTTGCTTGAGTTTCATTTCCTCCAAAGCTTCTAGCCATGCCAAAATATGATATCTTGAGTCTCGTTTCAAGAACCAAAATCACCTTCAATCACTCAATTAAACTCTAATGTTGGTAGACAGAGAGTTCCAGAATCAAGTTTACATTAACTTGTGCATTTGTGTTAACATCTTTAGCACAAGAACCAAAAAGAAGGGTGTTTCTTGATTGTTCAGCATTACTATGTGCAAGGCACACAGTGCATAGTATTGCAGTTCTTGCATTGCCTCCAAGAGAGTTTTGTAGTATGCGTGTTAGCTTCGAGTTAATTGTTAAGGCACATGCCCAATTCCTCCGTTACTGCATCCAAATCATAAAACTTGTCAAACAGACATACAAATTGATTTCTCAAGCTCGAAGCTACTATACTACACCCTTTGGGGGTAATTGTGTCATTTCTACAAAAAGATTACTTTTCAAACAAACCCTAGATGGCCCATACAGACCACTACATAAGACCAGTGGGACCAACTTTGTTATGGCTTAGGGGGACTTTTGTCATTTTAGGAATTCCAACAAGAAATTGTATTCTTATTCATGTTTTTTAAAGTATTCTTATTCATGTTTTTAAAAGTATTCTTATGCATTTTAATATCATGTGAATGATTAAGATTAATCTAAATTGTATTCTTATTCATGTTTTTAAAAGTTAGCTGAAGAAAAAAAATATGTACCAATCGTAAAATTTGATGAGATCTTGAACTCATTTCATTCAATGCAGTCTCCCCAATTTGTCTCTCAGCTATATTTTACATCTTCCATTATATTATCAGACATATTTTTTTGTAATGAGTAAAGAACATGAATGATATTTAGTATTTACCTTCTAACACATAGATGAGTTCCTTTAAATGGTTGCAGTCTCTTAAATTAGCTTATGTTAGTTTTTCTACAACTGTCCCTTTTTAAAAGAACAAGCCATAAAGAACTTGAGAACATTTTGGTTAAATGAATTAAGCTGAGAAATGACAATTCTAACCTCTAGGTCATCAACGACTTTCCTCATGAGGCAAGCAACACGCTGGAATAAAAACATATATATATATATATATATATATATATATATATATATATATATATATATATATATATATATTAAAATAGAATATTAGTTTTATATTAGAAAAAACATATTTCACGTTCTTAATTTTACAGAAAGAAGAAACTTTTCTGTAACAGCATGCATACATGAGGTATTTCACTACTCATCCTGTTGATGCTTTCGTCTAGAATCCCATTTACTATGCTTAGAAGCGACTGTGTAGGGGCAATCTGGACAATAAAAGATTCTGAAATTATACAAGTGTAAAATGTGAATATTGATGAATTCACAATGGACAAAAAGCATTAAGGAAATCACATCCAAACTGTTAGATTTCATCAACTCTGAGATTTTTGCTGCAGGAATATCAGAATAGTCACCATGTTTCATCTGAAACACTTCATGAAATCTATGTCCAGCATGATGCATCATGGCACTCGTAGGCTCTGCAGAAAAGGAAAAGGAAAAGGAAAAGGGTATCATTAGTCTCAATGAACAGTAACTCACTCACTATGTATGACCAAGGCAGTAACTTTGTGTATCATGAGCTCCATCATAAAATTCCACACATCAAGGCTATATATAATATTATAATTCAATTTCCGTATAACAAGAAGCAATTAAAGATTATAATCATTATATTACTTGAGTACTTTCATAGGAGTAAAATTAGATTCCCATAAATGGCTCATAAAAGCTCCTTTCCATGTTGCCTTGGCTTTTGTAAGATATTCTGATTTATGGTCAACTTCTGAGGTAAATCCAGCAGGTCCCACCAAAACAAGATGTTGTACACGCTTAGGATGCTTCATTTTGGTAAAAGTGTGAAATCATTAGATTAATGTAATTTAGATTTGAGACATGAAAGTTGTTTTTGTAATATTTATCATCAGGAGAGTTACCTTCAAGGCATATTTAGATACAACATATCCTCCAAAAGAATGCCCACGAAAAATAAACTTATCAAGGTGTTTGGCTTTTCTCCATTCCTCACGGGAATCAATGAACCAATCCTCAGTTTCTGCATTATCATTCAGAGATACAAGTATACAAGCATTAGATACTAAGGTTTTAGGGTTTATGGTTTAGGCTTCAGTTATGACCATGATAAGAACATATTGAAGGAGAGTAACCTTCAGGGTTTTAGGGTTTAGGGTTTCTACATTATCATTCAGAGATACAAGGAGATGTGCTTTTCTTGTTGCTTGTTGGTCGCTTTTTACCCTTGCTCGACTGAATAACATGAGGAAAGTTGTAACAGTAAAAAAGATATATTGAAAAAGTAAAAACTTCAACTGAAATAAATACATACATGTTCTTTCTCTGAAAGTAACTAACTGTTTGTGACATGAGGCTTCAACATAAAATCTATCAGCTTTATGACAACATCTTCCTGTTTGCAGAACATACATAATATTTAATTAAATTAATTTAAAAAAAATTGTGAAAGAAAGATATAAAAACTAAACAAACCTTCTTTGCATAAGTCTTTCCAATTGGCATGTCAATCACAAAATTCCAAAAGCTTCTCTTTATTATACTTGTCAAGCTTTTCTTTCACTTTCAGTTTTTGCTTTTCCTATAACAATAAATATATTTGATTATTATTTATCATGCTTCATAATATTTTAATCGTATGCTATTTAAGATGATATGATATTTTATAAATGAAATGTATCTGCCATCACTCTCTTGCCAGACGAAGCCAGAAAACCGCAAGATATTCATCTTGACCTGAGTAGCTTGCAATTCAAACAAAGAATCCACTTTTAAAGAAAATAAACAGAAATAAAAATAAAATTAAAAAAAAATAAAATTACACATCATACCAAATGCCTATAAATGCAACATATGATGACCGACTTTAACTTATTACATACTTCATTTATCTTATTATAATTTGCACGATCTAACTTTATGATTACTTTATATGATTTCATCATTTATAGAGAATTTTTCTTTTGATATACAGTCTTTGTACTTGTCTCAAACTACAGATTGATAGTAGTTAAATATTTTGATAATAAAATCTTATTCACCCTCGAATCTTCATATTTACAATTAGGGTCTTTTATTTAGGTATAATGTTGTAATAAGAGGAATTACCTCTTTGCCCTTGTCCCACTTTTCTTTTTGTGGTCTCGTATTTTCTTGTTAGATCAAGAAAATCAGGTTAATTGATATGATTTATATATACAGGAGATGAGTTTTATGACGCCCCAAAAGAATTCCAAGACTACCATTGTACAAAAGATGATGAAAAAACCTTACAAAGGGAAAATCTTGATAAAAAGGTAGAAACTTTAGAAAATGAAACAAGTGAAGAAATTCATACCCCTCCACCTTATAAGAGAAGAAAACTAACAAATTCAGCAGGAATTGATGTTGAGGTGAATATTTACAGAGACATAAGTAACGGAAGAACCGTAATTACCAAAATACCCTCGTTAACTGATTGTGATGAAACAGCTGAACCCAGTGAGTCAAGAGACGTGTTGCTTTTATTCAAGTTTAACAACCATGATCTCCCTTTTGAATTAAAGGAAATAATCGTATCAGATTTAAGATTATTGACTCTTCTAGAAGTTGGACTTCCATCTTGGGTAATTTTCTCCCAATCTTACCCTGTTTTTTGCCATATTTATTGACCATGGATGTGCCCTTTAGCAAGAGCTCTATATGTCATCATCTCCATTGTTACAGTTGTCATTGGTTTCTATGATCTTTACAAAAATGTCCCTCTGCTTAAAGCAACTGCTTCACGATTATGTGGGCCATTTTTTGATTGGATTGAAACGTGGGAAATGGTGTCGAGGATTAAGTATTTAGGGACGATGCTTTTTTTGCATAATTCCGAAAAAGCCCTTGTGTGGTTGTACCTAAATAAAAGATGAGAAACACAACATATTAAACTCACCCAATTTGATCCATTGCAATCACCCTGAAATGTTTTGTGAGAGCATCAAAATTTCTGAAGAAGAAGCCCTAAGCAGTTGCATATCCATGAACCATAACAAGAGTTGGTGAATCCTTCTTGCTATCGAAGGTGAAAGTGTTGATAAATCTTGGTTCATTGCTGGAAGAACGAAACCTGAGATGCATAGAGAGTAGATGCATAGAGTGTGTGCGACTGTTACCAAATTATCAGAATGGGATCGAGAAGCAGAAAAGTACGGGGGGAGGATCTCGCACCTAAGAAATCAAACAAGAATGAGAATAAGGGAGACGGAACGAAGAATACCTAAGATGCATAGAGAGTAGAAGTGGGGATCGTGGAATGAAGAGGAGATCGCGGTCTCCTCCACACGGATGTGAAGGAACCCTAACAAATCAACTCCGAAAATATAGGCATCTTTCACTTCGATCGATTGAAGATAATGAAATCGACAGCAGACATTGAAGCGAACGATTGAAGATAGTTGAAGAGATAAGAGTATAACAATATCAAGAAATATTACCTAAAACTTTGAATCAACAATGCTATGAAGTTGAACCGGAGGGTGAAGAAGGTGTGACTTCATCCAAGTTCTCATCGTCTGAATCAATTAGGGATTTAAATCTGGGTTTTTTTTTTTCTATTGGGAATTTTAGGGATGATGTGCTAGGGTTTTTCCAGGATGATGATTTAGGTAGGGTTCAAAATCGAATTGAAATATCGGGGCTTTATATGAATGAATGAAATATGAAACAGCGATTTGATTTTCATGTTGAATATTTTGTGAATGAATAAGAAGATGATTATGGTGAAAGAGAAGGGTGGAGATAAAGGTAGGAGAAAAGTAGCAAGTGCGGATCGATTTCATGAGGGCTGACTGACTCATCATTGTTATCTTCCATCCCTAAAGTCACCGGCGTGGCGCCTTTTTTCTTTGGAGCCACCATCGTTGCGAAGATCAGTGAGATGAGACAACATTTGTTACAGCAATGGGAGATCTCTACGAAATCTTAGGTTGGGTTTTAGGTCAGAGAGAGAGGGGGGGGGGGGGGGGAGACGAAGACCCTAGGCTTCTTTCTTGCTAATTGGAAGAGGAGGCGGGGTTTTAATTTTTGAGATTTCATTTCCCGCTTGAAACGCGTGTTTCATTAAAAAAAATATAAAGCGACACACTTACATGAAACACATCTTATGAAAGGTATCCTCTGTATTTCTATTTTTTTCTTTTCTGAAACTAATTTTAGGGTGCGCACAAAAAGCACGCCCTCTATCCTTCAAATTGTAGAAGATATGACATTATTTTTGGGGCACACACTTTTTCGTATCATAAATCACCGTGTGTCATTGTTTGCGCGTCATTAAATGGCTTTTTTCTAGTAGTGGTGTTGTTTGAGTAAAACCCTAATCTAAGGGATTGCACCCTATTTAAGCATCTCATTCAGCCTCCCTTTGTCCCTATTGCTCTCAGAACTCTCCATACCAAACCCCAATCATTTGTGTAAAGATCTAAAGCCTTTGTAGTGGTTTTTGGTGATTTTGGAACATAAGAAGGAAGAGAAAGGCTTAAGGAATCAAGAGGAGGCTAGAGGAGTTCGAGTTTGTGCACTCTCTGCAGTTCTTTAGAGGTATAAAGCTAATACATTGCTCTTTCATGTTTTAGATCCCTTTTTGGGGTGATTTAGGGCTTTTAGGAGCCATTCTTGGTAACCAATCATGAGTGCAAGCATGGTTGGGGGCTAAGACTTCAGATCCAAGGTATTTAAGGGGTTAGAAGGTAGAAAGGGATTGATTTTGGAGCCTTAGAGAGCCCCATGCATCTTAAGAGTCTCATTTAGGGCCATTTGAGCTTATAGTCCCATGCATGCACGTAAAGTTTGTAACTTTACGTGCTAGATCGATCTTAGAAGCCTAGATCTATCTTTTGGTCAAGTGTTGTACATCAGAAATCAAGAAATGAGACTTGGTCATTCTCGACTCGGCGAGTCGTTCTTGGGACTCGGCGAGTCCATGGCTTAACTTCAATTTTCTGTTATGGTTCGAGGGAACCGAGTGAGTGTTAGAGTGGTCTTAGAGGGGTCCGGGGGAGTGACCCAACACATTGGACTTAGCCATAGACCTGTAAATCATAGGACTTGACGGGTGTATGAACAGACTCGGCGAGTCCAAGGCAATCTCCCAACTTTCGAAGATGAACTCGACGGGTTGTTCATACAACTCGGTGAGTCAAGGGCAGGACTTGTTCATAGGATGGAGATGAACTCGACAAGTTGTTCATACAACTCGGCGAGTCAGATGAAGGTTCATTCAGGTTGTTTTAGAAGGAGAACTTGTTGAGTCGTTGCCAAACTCAACGAGTAGAGGCGTGAAGAAGGACAGATGAAAGGATAGGGACTCGACGAGTTGGCGGCCCAAATCGGCGAGTCGGTTCAACTGGAATTTGACTTTGACTTTGACTTGGTCAGGGGTAAAATAGTCATTTTTCCTAGTTGAATTATAGAATAGTTAGGTAGTTCAGTGCTTTATTACAAATAAGGCAGTTGAGTACCGATGTGGTTATTTATTACAAATACTACAGTACTTAGAAGTATTACCTTAGACTTAAGGTAATTGGTACGGTTGTAGTTCAGTGCTACACCATAGTACTATTCCATTTTCCCATTACATTCACTTCGTGAACATTCACACGACGCACAGAAATGTAGAAACTATCTTTTTGATTTATGGTAGTCAGACTTGGGAAAATACACACTCATACAAGAGACACACACATACACTAGGTCTTGATAGAAGGCTACATGAGAACAGTTAAGTCTTGGTATAAGACTCCTTTTGTTACTAGTAGGAATCATAGGGATTTCTAGGGTTTTCAAACGTTTACAGTTGTTTTACAAACATGTTCATACTTACAGTTCATTTACATTTTCAATACTTACAATTCGTATACATACAAATACTTACATTTCAAATACATACAAGTATTTACATACAAGTTTAGACACTAAAATACTTATGATCTAACCAGCTTTAAAGCTGATACTCGCTTTCAAAATTACTTGTATCCTCAGGTCATCATAGACAGGTACCGATGCAAGGACTAGGGAAGATGGAGCGCGTTGAAGATTCATCTTTCATTTTGATTTATGCTTTAGTGTTTATCAAAATTTGATAGAACACACTTGTATAATAATTCTATTATTAATGCAATGGATGATGTTGTTGCTTGTTTACTACTTTTCATTGTTGTGATACTGTACATGACGTCCTCCTCCCCAGAACGTTTCCGCCGTTCCTGGTTTTGGGGTGTGACAGAAGTCAAGGAATTAGTTGAAGAATTTGCAAAACACTCTCGTGAATACCACAATCCAAGGAATGAAGGCATGAAAGGAGTTGGGGGTGCACAAACTAGAGAGATGGCTATTATGATGGCAATGCTTAACACTATGGATAGGATATTGACCCAAATGGACTAAAAAATTCATGCAATTCGAGTTGCTTGCGAGAAATGTAGTGGCCCACATTTGAAAAAAGATTGCAACTTGGATGAGTATGGAAACAAGAAAGCTCAAGTTTGCTATTCGAAAGGGGACAAGTATGATGAAGACTGGAGGAAACCAAAGAAAGAGTGGTGGCCTTACGATGAATACAAGAAGCAAAAGGAAGAAAAATATAAACAAACTAGTAGAGGTTTCTACCAAAGAGAGCAACCACTAGTTGAGAAGAAATTAGAATTAGAAACCATGTATATGAAATTCATGGAAGCTTCAGAAAAAAGACATGATGCTACTGAAACTGCAATGGAAGAACAAAGAACTATAATGAAGAATCATCACACAATGATGATAGATTAGCAAGCATTAATAAATAATCAGCAAGCCTCCATTAATAACCTTGAAGTACAACTTGGTCAACTTACCACTTTGGTTAATGAGAAGATGTTCCTGAAAATCCTGAAAATAAGACCCAATCTCACGTAATGGCCATAAAATTAAAGAAGAGGCGATTTATGAGTTCCTATAAGCCTTAGAAGTGGAGTCACAACAGCTCGATCCAAAGCCAAAGAAGCCAAAGCTCTAAATTGAAGAATCTGCTAAAATACCCAGTTCACGTCGTGAGCCCGCTATGCTCACGTCGTGGGCTCAGTCTGAATAGAAGAAATTTGTATCTGTTCCAGCTTATAAACCACCTTTTCCATTCTCGTCTAGAGCTAATCTTAGTCCACTAGAGAGAGAACATCTAGAGTTTATCAAGCAATTGAAGGGTATTCCTATCAATAATCCTTTTATTGATTCACTTGCAAAAGTTCCAGAATTTGCTAAGTTCCTAGAAGACTTGTTAGACACTCGTTAGCAATTAAAGGAGAATTCTAAGGTGATTCTAAGTGAGCAAAGCTCAAAAGATGTGTTGGGAGAGATACCTAAGAAGATGGGGGATCCTGGACGACTCACTCTCCCATGTGAGTTTGGGAATAATATGATGGTTTATGCTTTAGCCAATTTTGCGGCTAGCATAAATTTGATGCCTTATTCGTTTTATCAAAAATTAAATATTCAGAAGTTGAAGGCTACAAAGATGACTATTCACATGGTGAACCGTTCAGTGACATAGCCCCGGGGCATTGTGGAAGATATTCTAGTGAAAATTGGGAAATTCGTTTTTCTAATAGACTTTGTGGTTTTGGATATGAAAGAAGATCCCAATGTACCAATTATTCTTGGTCGATCGTTACTTAACACTGCTGGAGCTCTGGTTGATATACGCGAGTCCAAGCTCACCTTGAGAGTTGGGGATGAGAAGGAAATTTTTGGAATAGAAGATGGTTTCCAATTGAATCATGCTCAAGAAGAGGTTTTCAACATTGATAAAGAGAATGAACTTGACGAATTAGAGAAGCTCATGGAAGAAGAAATCAAAACAATGCAACAAGTTAAAGAACAAAACCGAGAGCATCTGTTCCATTTTTAGTTGAAGTCATTACCTACACGAATCCAACTTCTTAGGTAAGCAAGGAAGATGATGAGATGTCGAGTGATGAAGAGGAGGTTACTTAAAAAGTAATAAGTCCAGTAGTGAGAGAGGAGAAGGAGACTATGGAGCTTAAAGATGATGAAAAATTAAGGATTCAAGGGATCAAACACAAGCTCGATGGAGATGAAATCAAGGATAAAAAGGAAAATTCTAAAAAGGCATATATTCATCGAGTGCAATCATACAAGAGGCGTTTCAAGGAGCAAAAGATCCTAGTGGTGGACTCTTCATATGATTCAACGTAGGAGGCATGGAGTCTAGCTTAAGACTCCTGAAAAAGAAGCACTTCTCGGGAGGCAACCCGAGTTTGGTTTGCGTTTTCTTTCTTATCCTTTTTAGTTTTTAGCGTATTTTTAGTTCTTAGGAAGTCGATCATGTCATCCGAATTATTATCTATATAATAAATTACCAAGTAAGGAGTCATTAAAATCAAGTGGTAAAACTTATTGAATGTCTTACAAAATTAAATTTGGAGAAATTAATAAATTTCATGATCAGACATACTTCACGACGTGAACCGTATGGTTCACGACGTGAATTCGGATGGAATACGGGCATGATTATTTTATATGTTAATCATTTTTTTGTAAGCCTTCCCACTTTCAGTAATGACCCAATATATGCCTTAGCCCACTTCCTACTTAAATGGCCAAATTTTAGAGTCCAGACAGGACTCATGACATGATCCATTACGGATTCACGACGTGAGTAGTAAATTACTCGGGACCACAGATTAAAGGATACATAATCAGTCTGTCATACCACTTTGTTTATTCCTCACGAAGTGAAAGAGGCATCTGGTCCCCTCCGTTCGATATTGGCCGACAACCACTATATTTTCCTTTTTTGCTTACGTAATACTTCAATATTAGGTAATTATTCTTAATTATTAAGTTTAATTCTTCTCTAATAGTTGAACCTA